TGATGTGTTTGTTATATGTGTGTGTAATGTTCATGTGTGTGTGATGTATTCGTGATATGTGTGTATAATGTTCATGTGTGTGATGTGTATGTGCATGTGTAGGGGATATGTGTGTATGTATGTAATGTGCAAGCATGTGACTAGTTTGTGTATGCATTGTGTAACAGGTATAGTGTATGTGTGTGATGTACTTGTGTGTGATATGTGTGTATGTGTGAGTGATGTGTATGAGTATGTCTGTAATGTGTGTGATGGATGGATGTATGCATGTGACATGTATGAGCGTGAAGTCATATATTTGCCAGAGGACATCTTTCCAGAGTCAGTTCTCTCTCCACCATAATGAGTGGGGCCGGCCTCTCCTTTCTGCTGCCATGCTGCACACTCCAGTCTGGCCAGCCTAAGAGTTTCCAGGTAATTATCTTGTCTCCTGGCGTCAGCTCTTCCAGCTTGCTTGGAAAGCATGGTCACCATGCTCTTAACCACATTGCTGTCCTTAGGTCCATCTCTTACACTTCCCAGCTGTAGCTGCACCTTCCTGAGCCTTGATTGCTAGCCACAGAAAGACAGTAATCGCATGCAATTTACAAGAGGTTCAGAGGGAGTCAGTAAGACAGTGCATATGAAACAGCCAGGCCAGCCCTGGGCCCATGCAGAATGAATGGGGCAGCAGCAGTCTATGGAGTTAGTAAGTCCTGGCCCACCAGATTCTTAGCCTGAGCTGGGTCACTGCCTTGGATTTGAACCTCTTACTTCTGGTTTAGGCTGATGTCCGAGATGAAGAAGCCCTATACCAAGCCTTCCAGGGGGTGGACTGTGTCTTTCACGTGGCCTCCTATGGCATGTCTGGAGCTGAGAAGGTGAGACTCATATATACACACCCAGAGCTGGGCAGAGTGGTGTCCAAGTCCTGTCCACCCACCACACTCTGATATTTGAGTATTGCTTCTTGATCTTCACCTCCTCTAGAGAAGGACTGGGCATCCATGACATCAAATACCAGTTCTGGTACCTTCCACCTGTGACGAAAGGCAGCTTAGCCTCTCTGAGCTACTCCTTCCTCATCTGGAAAGGAAGGACACCTCTGTGGCTTATGTCACAAACTCTAGAGAACACTGTAGCAGTGTCTACCAAAACATCCTCCATTTGACTCAAACTATTCTTATTTATATATTCCTAGCATTGCTTTTAATAACAAGATACCAGAACTAGCACCGTGGTCCTTTAGTTATTAAAGTAAGACGTAGCGAGCATATCATGAAGTTGTACCCAGCCATTCAAAAGAATGAGGAGACTCAAAGGGGTTGATATCCAAGCAATTTCCAAAGTTTAAGTTAATGTTTGTTTCCCCTACTCACCTTAAAAAAGAAAAGAAAAGCTGAGAGCCAACAGGATAACTCAACCAGCCATCTTTAAGCCCTGTACTCTAGAGGCAGAGGCAGGAATATCTCTGAGCGTGAGGCCAACCTGGTCTACAAAGTAAGTTCTGGAACAGTCAGGACTAAATAGAGAGACTCCGTCTCAATAACACCAACTTAGCCAATTAAAGTGCCTACTGCCAAGCCTAATGACCCCAGTTTGACCCCCAGAACTCACATGATAGAAGGAGAAAACTGACTCCCACAAGCCTTCCTCTGACCTCTACCTATGAACCATAGCACCCACATACATGAACACACACATGCACACACAAAACAAATAAATAAGAATATGATAAATGTTTTAAAGCTAGGATAACTGTTAGGTATATAATGATGTTAAATACAGGTTTTCTGTACAAGCATATGAAGCTGTTAACAGCAGTTCTCTCTGGAGAGGACAGAGGAAGACTTGGCATCAGGAATGTGAAGGAACTTTTCTCTTCATTAGATAGTCTTTTTTATGTATGTCTGTGCATCGCAAGTGTGCCTGGTGTCTAAAGAAGTCAGCAAAAGGCATCGGATCCTCTGGAACTGGATTTACAGACAGTTGTGAACTGCCATGTGGTTGTTTGGAATCGAATCCAGGACCTCTTGGAGAGTAGCTAGTACTCTTGACCCTTGGGCCATCTCTGCAGCTTCCAGATATCTTTTCACTATTTGAATTATTTTTAATGTTGTAGCTGCTTCCACATTAAACAAAAAAAAAAAAACCTGCTACAATATGAATAGACATAGTTTTGGCTGGAGATGCAGCTGAGTGGGTAGAATGCTTGTTTAGCGTACCCCCTGAGTTAGATCTACCCACCACATAAACCAGGTATGGTGACGCACACCTATCATCCCAGCACTTAGGTGGGAGAGACAGGAGGATCAGGAGTTCAAGGTTATCCTTATCTGTAAAGCTTGTTTGAGGTCAGCCTGGGCAACATGAGACACACTGTCTCAAAGACAGACAGACAGACAAATAAATACAGCTTAAAAATGCAGCACATCACTTTTCCCAGTGACGTTAAATAGGGTCTTGACTGTATTGTTTGCTGGGTGCCTGGCACACAAGGACCCACCATTGTAGTCTCTTTCTTTGTTACACTCCTGTTCCCTTCTCCTGGACACGGCCATACCACCTCATTTGTCTCAGAAAACGAGAGACAAGTTTGAAGTCACTTATCTGTGTCCAACTCTATACCAGCCCCTGTACCCTATACCAAGTACCCCTCAGAGAGAATCCTACAGACCGTGAGCCCAGCCTGTGGCCTCAGCCACAAGGCAGAAGGCAGTACGTGACTTCCTATCTCCCTCTTGTCTTTTAGCTACAAAAACAGGAGATTGAGTCTATAAATGTCGGAGGCACCAAACTAGTGATTAATGGTAGGCCCTCAGAGTGGAGTGTGGCCTGCTGTGTGATCCTTCCTCTCCTGTCTCCTGCCACTGGCCTGGCTCTGGGGTGGAGGTTGGGGATGGGGCCACAGAGGCAGGACCCCCTGCCCTACCTAGCTTGTACCAACTGAGGCCAGTGGGAGGTAGATTATCTTCCTTGTGTACAGACCGGCTTGAACACCAGCAGTCTTAGCATGTCTGGGGCTCAGGGTTAAGGAGAAAACTGAAGAAAGTCACTGAGGTATCAGATAGAAGTTCCTTGTTGGGTCCTCTGGAAACAATCTAACATTGACCTACACTTTTTCCAGTTCTAGAACATCTTTTTTGTCTGTCCCACCAAGTGTACCTTTTCTTCTTACCTGCCCCTGACAAGGTGGCCCTGGGGGACAAAGACACACCAGAAGGAGAAATGAGAAGCCCTGGCCCTCACATCCCAAGTTGAGGGAAAAGGCTTTTACCTCCCAGGCAGCTCTGGATTCTAGGAGATCTCTAATGGTATGGGGTGGGAGATGAAGACTGGATAGAAATGGGTGGATTTGCCCACAGAGGCCTTTTTGAGCACCTCCTTAGCAAGCTCCTTGATCACAATCTGTGTGTGTGTGTGTGTGTGTGTGTGTGTATGTGTGTGTGTATCTCCTGCAGTCTGTGTCCGTCGGCGGGTTCCAAGGCTCGTGTACACCAGCACAGTCAACGTGACATTTGGCGGGAAACCCATAGAACAAGGAGATGAAGACTCCATCCCATATTTCCCCCTGGACAAGGTACCAAGTTCTGGGAGGGAGGGGGCAGGGTGGCAGGTCTGGAAATGACTGCCCAAAGGACAGGCATGGGTAGAGCTAGGTCCACCTTTTCACTCCGGGTGCATCCCAGCAGGCTGGACTCCCAGACTGAGTGGTCCAAGTTTTCTCCCATCTTAGCTTGTCTTGCCGTGAAAGCTTCAAAACCATATAGACCTGGCCTTGATCCTCACCCAGCCTGGCACCCTTCACCTCTGTGTCAGGATGTGTCATATACTTGGAACCTTTGTTTCTTCATCTAAGACTGAGAACACCATAGAGGTGGTTTGTGGAGAGCAGCAAATGAGATTGTGTGTAAAAATGCCACAGGAACACCAAAGAATGACATATAATCCATCACCCAACCTATCTATATCCAGTATCAGTGTCACAGGCCAGACATTACAGACTGGCCAGTTGCCTCCCTGAGCCAGGACTGTGCAGCCATAGTGTCGGCCATGCCCAGCTAGGTTGGCATTGCCAACAATATCACCGAGCTCATCTGGTGGCTATGTTCTCCTTGTCCCCTGGCAGCATATGGACCACTACTCTCGAACCAAAGCCATTGCTGACCAGTTGACACTCATGGCCAATGGGACACCACTCCTAGGTAAGTACCATGGGGACATGCTTATAACAAGCATGCCTGCCCACTGCTGCCTCTCTGAAATGTATGTCTGAGGCCATATCATTCCAAGTGACATCTCTCCATGGTCTGGGCCTTTGCCCTTCAGTGTATTCTGAACACCTGCATGAGCCTCTTCAACCAGGACACAGCCTGGACTGTAAGGACCCATGTTTGTGGTCTGGTTAGGGTCCAGGCTTGTGTTCTGGTGAGGAAAAGCCTTTGACAGCCTGACACTTGCTCTCTTTGCTGTCTCATGGGAGTGGAGTTAGTTTTAGCAGTCTTCTTTAGCCTTATAAATATGCAAGGAGCTATAGCTCTTTGGAAGGGACCATGCAAGTGAGAGGCTCTTGCACTTCACCTTCAATAACGTTCCAGAAAACATCTGCCTCGGCTGTCTCCCTTCACTCCCTCCTCTGGCTACAAAGCAATAATAGAACAAGAACAGTCCATGATTGTGTGCATTCTTCATGTCAGGCCCTATTTTGCATACTAATTTCATATGCAAAAGGTTCATTTAACTCCATATCATTCCTGAGGGGGAGATGGAATTTAGGCATCCCTGATCTTCTCCACGGGAGCCAAATCCATTCTGACAATTTGCTTATTATAAAGCATTGTCACCACCTTTCTAAAGGTAAAAGAAACCGGCTAACATGGTCTCATCTACCTGGGCCTACTGGCAAAGTCCTATCACCCCAGCTACTCAGGAGGTTGAGGCAGGAAGATCACAAGTTCACAGCCTGCCATAGCTGCAGAGTGAGCTCAAGGCCACCCTAACCTTGCCTCACAAAAAGAAAAGAGGAGAAAAGAGAAGAATGAAGCTCGGAGACAGTGCTTGCTCAGCATAAGCCTGTGTTTAACCTCTAGTACTGTAGTTCTCAACTTTCTTAAACCTGAGATCCTTTAATACAGTTCCTTATGTTGTAATGGCCCCTAACCATAAAATTACTACTGCCTAACTGTAATTTTGCTGCTGTTGTATATAGTAATGTAAATATTTGATATGCAGGCTATCTGATATCCCATCCCCAAAGGGATCACAACCTACTTCTCTAGTACCACAATTAAAGACAAGTTTGGGAACCAATTGGATTTGGAGAACAAGAGAGGCTTGAAATTATAGCCTCCAGTTTACACACAAGAAAGCAGAGCCTGGATAGCTGGCTTCACTCAAAGTCACACAGCGCTGTGTGGTAGAGTGGGACTTTTAAGCCCAGGAGCATCTTAGCACTAGAATCCAGCCCTGAGCCACCGTGCTACCCTAGAGGCAGCAAACCAGGTCTCTGCATTGAGCTTTCTTCCCTACAATACTTCTGGTTTTGCTACCTGGCCTGTCAGTGTTTGACCTCTGACCCTGGTGTGCATATACCGTGTTTCCCCAGGATCTGATGCAGCTGAATTCTCTTCTCTGCCTTTTTTCCTTCACATTCCTTTTCACCTACTGCTAGGCCAGACACCTAATCTTCTGGCTGGGAATTATTTATATGCACACCCCCAGCTTTCAATGCTCAGAAGAGTCATGGATACCCTAGGTCTGCCCCTCCGTGACGTGGCTACCCAGTGTCCCTCTGGCCACCATTGGCAGCAACCTGACCTCCCTCCACCATGCCCCCAGGGACTCAGAGTTTAAACTTAGCTATAGGCCACAGAAAAGCTCAGTTGACACCTGCCTTCCAGGAGGCCAGCCATGGTCACCAGAGGTGATTACTGTGGTCTGTAATCCAGGCTAGTCCTGAGATGGCCCTCACTTGACTGGCTGCCAGAATCCTAATAAGTAGGTCACAGTGCCCTGTCAGTGTATTGTATCCTTTTGCACCTCCTTGAGTTATTGTCCTGCAACTCCCACGGTGGCTTAGAACATTCTTTTGCTATCTGAAAGCTGGAGCCTCGAGTCTTGGTGTTGGCTAGTATAGAGGGTCCACCTCCCTTTGAAGGCTCTGAAGAAGAGGCCCTCTTTGTCTCCTCCAGCTTCAGATGGCCCCTGAATACCTTCATGTGGCCTCCTTTTCTTCTGTTGGTCTCTTTTAAGACACCTGTAATTGGATTAGGCCCAGAGGAAAATCTACAACGATCTCAACTCACCAATATCCTTAATTAGAACCTTAAAGGTCCTTTTACAAACACAGCCGTACTGGCAGGTTCTAGAATGCAAATATCTTTTGGGATCCAATCTAACATCTACGCGACTGGGCTTCATTGTAAAGGGAAGGGTGTTTAGTAAAGATGGAGACGCCGACCCTGTCATATTTATGGGGAAAGGGAATGTACAATAGAAGTGTCTGGAAAACCGATTTGTAGAAGAAAAATAAAACCAGCCACCTGGTTTAAGAAGGACAAATCATGAATAGCTCAAGGGCTGGTAGGAGCTGATAGCCAGTGCCCTCAGGGTTTGTGAATACTGATGATGCTGAGAGATACTTCCAGGTAAGAGCATCCTAAGAACGCCACCCATAAGGACCTCTGTGGGCAGGCGGCAGGGGTTGGGAGGGATCCCCAAGGAAACTGGGCTGCTGTCAGTACAAGATATTTCTACTGGGCCTCCCACAAAGAAGCAGGAGATGTAGATGGCTTTGTCCTCCCATTGTCATTGGCTGTGGCCCCCTACCTCCATATGCCACTCCTCTGCAAGCCCCTGACCCACCCTCTCTTTGTCCCAGGAGGAGGCACCCTCCGCACCTGTGTACTCCGTCCCCCAGGCATCTATGGTCCTGAAGAACAGAGACACCTGCCCCGGGTGGCGGTAGGTCCTCCCAGCCTTCCTGTGACCAGAGGCAGAAGGAATCAGGTTGACGTAGTGTGCATGCTGATTGGACTGTTGCAGCTCTCTGTCACTGCATCTGTCTAGAGGCAGTGTCCCCAGTCAGAGTTTATGCTGGGAGGTCACCCTGATGCCCACCAGTCCATAGTCCCTTAACCCTACCGGGCACAAAGCTTTTAGTATACCATGCAGGCCTCATTTCAAGCTGGGGAGACCCCAGAAAAACTCTCATGTGGGTGCCCTGAGGATTGGGCAGTTCATCTCAGTCTGCCAGTGAAGGTTCTTCATGCCAGAAAACTCTAGAAAATCTGAGTACTGAGAATATGTCTGCAGGGAGTTCATGTCCTCATAGCCTGGTCAAGGAGACAGGCTGCACAGTCATGACTTCAGCATAGTGATGGCTGAGTAGAGAAAATGGGCCTGGCAGGAGAGATCCAGGAGGACTTCCTGGAGGAGAGGATGCTTGTGGTGTTTGGAAGGAGGAAAAGGGAACCCCCCCCCCACATACACCCCCAGAAGCTGAGGTAAGCAGAGGAAGGGAATGCCAAGTAGAGGAGCAGCTTGCACATGGACCTAAACGTGAGGAAGGCTAACCAGCGAGAGGTCCCTGTGGCTGGAACTAACCGAGAGTGAAAGGCCATGGTTGCTACCGGAGGGCATCTGGGGAGTGCTGTTTGGGCCTGCTGCTTCAAATATCCCTCTGCTGAGTTCTTATAGGATACCAGGTCAACTACAAGGACTTCCCCCTTGCCCCCTCACCCTGCTTAAATACTTACTGAACTACTACTATGTGTTCGGTACTGTTCTGGTTCAGGGCCAGACCAGCAAACAGAACAGAACACTCCTGCCCTCGTGTGGCTTGTGTTCTCACACCAGGAGATAGATTAAAATAAATACACATGCTGAATTAAAGAGTATTGGAAGGTGCCAAACCCAAAGGGAGAGAAGAAGAAGTAGATGGACAGAGGGGACTGGGCTCCGGGGAAGTCGGAGAAGCTCCTTGGAGAAAGCAGAGTTTTAAATCTCCCAAGGGAAGAAGGAGTCAAGCAGGTCAAGCAGGCTTTTGGAGGAGAGCCTCCTGACAGGGGGCAACTCCTCGAAAGCCCTAGGATTGTCCAGGTGGAGACAGACAGCCCTGGGTCATGGCAGCACAGCAGGAGAGGGGTCCGTAGAAGGAGGAGCTGTAGAGGAACAGGGCCAGGTCTGGGAGGGCTTCGGGCACCAGCTACCCTCCAGTGTTTATCATCACAGTCCATGTGGTGCTCTGTATTCATCAGAACAGGGGCAGATATGGTGGTACAGAGTGAATGGACAACTGTTATTCATACAGAATCCATGCAGAGGCTGCTGTAGTCCCCAAGGCGAGATAAGGGTGGCAGTCGGGGAGAAAAGTAGTTGTTATTCTGAACAATCATAAAAATCGAGGCAGCTGGGTTTACAGCTGGTTTGAATGTGAGGCATAAGAAAAGTTAAGAAGCTCAAAGGTGGGGCTAGAGAGATGGCTCAGTGGTTAAGAGCACTGACTGCCCTTCTTAGAGGTCCTAAGTTCAATTCCAAGCAACCACGTGGTGGCTCACAACTATCTGTAATGGGATCCGATGTCCCTTCCTGAAGACAGTGACAGTGAGGTATGAAACAGATAAAGTCTTTCAAAAAGAAGAAGCGCAAAGGTGGGCCAAGGTCAACTGTGAGACAAGCAAGAGCTGTCCAAAGGACTTGGGACATGGGAGTTGGGAGTCTAGCCTGTGAGCATGTATATAGAGCGTAAAACCATCCATCCAGGTGAGCCTGCACTGACACCCCTTTCCCCATGCCAGAGCCACATCAAGAAGAGACTGTTCATGTTCCGGTTTGGGGATCGCAGGACACGAATGAACTGGGTCCATGTGCAGAATCTGGTGCAGGCACACATGCTGGCGGCTGAAGGCCTCACCATGGCTAAAGGCTACGTGGCTGTGAGTGTCTTGTGACGTCCCTGCCCCTGAAGGTTGCAGCAAGGAGGAGCATGCCCACAGGAGGCCCAGGGTCACCGGGTTGGGTAGAAGCGTCAGAGAGCATAATCAGCTCTTCACCGTGACCCTGTGATGTCACAGCTTCCAACTGAAGCAGATCACAGTCTTCACCATACTCATCTGGCTGAAGAAATTGAAGTTCAGTGAGGTTGAGTGTGTCTGTCAGAGTCACACAGCTTGTCAGTAAACTCAGGGCCACAGTCTGTACCCCAAGAAGCCAAATTCAATCCTTTAGAAGCCAATTAAAAGAATCAAGTTAGCCCAGCACTCAGGAGGCAGAGGTATGTGAATCTTTATGAGATTGAGGCCAACCTCATAAAGATCTACAGAACGAGTTCCAGGACAGCCGGAGCTACACAGAGAAATCCTGTCCTGAAAAAACAAGAGTCAAAAGGACCCAGTGATCCCCTCCAGTCTGTCTTGGGGTCCTGAAGTGAGATTAAAGTTTAAATAGAGTCCCTGGAATATGAAAGTCTCCACAGTCATGCTCAAGGTTACTACTTGGTCCTCAACTGTTAGGTGGTCTGAAAAGCTGTTACAATTGAATGAATAGAGATAAACTCACCTCTAGCTGGGGCCCTTACATTTTCCCAACATGAGACCCTAAAGAAATTCCATTTTTTGGGGGGTGTCCATTGTTTGAATATTCTGACAGTCAGATTGGCAGACACCTGGCCCACAATGTCAGTGTCGGTGTCTCTTTAGAATACCATCATTTCTGGCAAGCCACTTACAGCCTTTCATAGAGAGTTACCCTGTCGTTAGCTCTGTCAGACCACATACTGCTTTACTAAGGTGTTGCCCAGGTCTCTTCCCAGAACTTCTCAGGAGGACAAGAGGGCTGAAGCAGCTTCTGGGAGCCATGAGAAGAGGGCTGTGGGCAGACACCTGACTGTACCTCTTCTCTCCTGTCACCCTCAGAGCGGGCAGGCATACTACATCAATGATGGAGAAAGCGTCAACCTCTTTGAGTGGATGGCCCCACTGGTAGGTGTTCTCCTTCCCCATCCCCACCCCTAGCCCAGAGTGAGACTCTCAGTCCCACCCTCTGTCCTGGCATCCTTTCCTTCCACCAAACCCAAGAATTTACCTTAGAAAGCCTGTCCTATTGACACGTGCCTGGCTGGCACTGGGTACATCTGAAGCTAGGCTGTGACTGCCCCTTAGTAGTACCATGTGTTCCTGCTTTTGTCACAGGCCTTTCTAAATTTGTCTCCTGACTCACACTGATTCTGGCCATCTGAGTCTTCTGTCCTTTTTTTCAATGGGACCCAGGGCCCATGCTAAACAAGTGGTCTACCACTGAAAGGCAGGTTTGCTTGTAATCCTGAGGCAGGTATAGTGGTCACCAGATCCTGGAGGGAGGAGTATGGTCTCTGAGAACCCTGACCTCTCTCAGCAACCCACAGTCTCCTTTAGACCAGGCCCATCTGGAGAGTGAGCACAGAAGCCCAGGCTAGAGGTAGAGGAGTTAGCTTGTACTGCTGTGCCAGTGGCAGCTCTGGTTTGCTCTATTTAAAGAGCACTTTTCGGGGCTGGAGAGATGGCTCAGTGGTTATGAGCACTGGCTGCTCTTCCAGGGACCTGAGTTTAAGGCCCATCACCACATGGTAGCTAGCAACTATCTGCAGCACCAGTTCCAAAGGATCCAATGCTTCCTTCTAGCCTCCACAAGCACCAATCATTCATACAAGCAAAACACCCATACATGAGAGATGGAGCCATAGGTTCAATTCCCGGCACCAACATGGCTGCACACAACTTTCTGTAACTCCTGATCCAAGGACCCAATACCCTCACAGAGATATACAAGCAGTTAAAACATCAATGAACATAAAATAAAAATAATAAATTTAAAATCAAATACTCAAGCTGGTGAGATGCCTCAGTGGTTAAGAGCACTCACTGACTGCTCTTTCGGAGGTCATGAGTTCAAATCCCAACAACTACATGGTGGCTCACAACTATCCATAATGAGATCTGATGCCCTCTTATGGGGTGTCTGAAGACAGCTACAGTGTACTTACATATAATAAATAAATAAAAACCTTTGGGCCGGAGCAAGTGAGCTAGAGCGAGAGGGAGAAGGGAAGGGAGAAAAACACTCATATATGTAGAGGTCTTTTTGTAATTTTTTTAAAGTTAAAAAGCACTTTTATTCAGATGTAACTTACAAGCTATGCAATTTACCTACAGAAAGGATACAATTAAATATAGTTTTCTTTTTAAAATCATATTCAGAATTATACAACCATCACCATAATTAACTTTAAAGTAGGTCTTCATCTTCAGAAACTAAAACAGGCCTGTACCTGTTTGCAACACGGCCCTGTATCAATTTACCCTCCAGCCCAACCTACAATAGGCAACGTGAGTCTTCGTCATCTCTATTGTCCTGCCTATGTTGGCTGTTTCATGAAACGAGTGGCCTTTTGTCTGACTTCTTCCCCCTTAGTTTTCAAAGTTGACCCATGTTGTGACATGTATCAGGTAGAGACTTCATTCTCTTCCATTTTTTTTAATGTGTGTATGCCTGCACCTGTGTATACAAATGTACATGTATGTAAGTACACATGCCATGCATGCTTGTCAGAGGACAAGCTCTGGAGCCATTTCTTGCTGGGATTACGTCACTGTGTGCTTGTGTGGAGTTTCTGGGCTAACCAGTTACTCCAGGCTTAACTTCCCATTGAAGAACTGCCAGAGTGTTTTCCAGAGACTGTAGAACTCCTGTCTCCCCAGCAGTGTGTGCGTGTGTGTGTGTGTGTGTGTGTGTGTGTGTGTGTGTGTGTGTGTAGTGTAGTGCTCCCTTTCTTTCCAGCCTGCCAGCCTTTATTAATTTAGCTTTGACTTGAAGAGGTTTTATCCAGGTGGACAGCTCCATTCACTCTCTGCAGGCCTGTTTCTTCCAGGGCTGCCTCTTGGGCTTCCTAGCACATCTGAGTTTTATCTATTTTTCTTTAATAGTACAGTCAATTCTGGAAGGGAAAAAAATCAGATTCTATTTAAGAACCTGGGAACAGGTTCATGTGTGGGTGGATATAGTAAAAACCTAAATGATGTGAAAGATTCTAAGTTTACAAACCTGCCCTATGCCTGGCAGTGGTGGCACACACCCTTTAATCTCAGAACTCAGGAGGCAGAGGTAGGTGGATCTCTTGAGCTCAAGGCCAGCTTGGTCTATAGAGTGAGTTCCAGAACAGCCAGGGCTACATAGGAAAAACTATGTCTTGAAAAAAAAAACAACAAAATAAATATATAAGAGAAGGCTTAGCAGATAAAGAGTCCCAGAGTTGCCTAGCCTGATCCCCAGAACTATGTGGTGAAAAAGAGAACTGATTCCAAGAAATGGTCCTCTGATTTCCCATATCTCTCTCTTTCTCTCTCTCTCTCTCTCTCTCTCTCTCTCTCTCTCTCTCTCTCACACACACACACACACACACATACACACACACACA